GAAACATCAGTGGTGCTGAGATCTCACTTATGGGTCACAGACAAATTTTGCCTTGGATGGCAGATCACAATAGCCAAATAGAGAAAAATCCAAATCCAACTTTGTTTCCACTTACGGCCGGAGCCTGGTCTCTTGTGAATAATCCCCAGGTGTGCCAGCTCATGTTACGCCGAAACATGGTGTGTTCAGTTTCACCAAATCCATATATGTACTGTGATGCCAAGCGGGTAGATATCTGAATGAACATGTCACTGAACGTGAAGGTGGGTAGCTGAGAATCCCAGCTAAACGGAAAGAGGAAAATGAAAACAAGAGTATAACAGTTTTCATCAGCAGCTTTAGCTGATAGTCACCTTTCTGAGGCTACTCTTTTTCTCTTTTCAATCCTTCCCGTGGGTCAATATTTTCATACACGTGTAACAGGCAAGCAAACCCCACTGGCGCTTGCCAGACATAGCCGTTATGTGGGAAGGATGCAAAAACTAGCCATAAGGCATTTAAACCTAGTTCACAAGAAAATGATTTGACCTGAAAATAGCTAGAATAAATAAATAAATAAATAAAATGAAATAAAAGAAATGCAGCTTACATAACTGTCCCTGTGCTCTTGCGCCGAATCTGTAACCCAAAGGGTTTTCTCTGAACAGACACTTCGTAAAGTCGATCCTCAGCGGTGCTCGTAGGGGAGCTGGGGAGATTTAGCGGTACTGGAACCTCATATCGTTTGTTTTGGTAATCATAAATCTGTGAATGGAAGATTAATTCATTTCGATGTACATCTATAAGCACATAGCTTACACTAGTAATTGTTACGTTTTCAAGACTTCAAGATAATAATTGTTCAAGCACTGCTCCTCGCATTTGTTATAGGCTGACAGAAACGCTCCCGTAGACTGGCAGACTCCCAGTCTGACACAGAGAATTGTTTGAAATCTTACCAATAATGATAGAAATCTGATCTAGTTAAAGTGAATACAGAAAATCATTGAATAAATTTACTGTGATGAGCTTTTTTTTTTTTTTTCCTTCCAATATGCAGTCGTTCTCTAATTCCTTCAAAATATTTGGGTTGGAAAAAAGAAAAAACCTTATGGATTTATTAAGGCTTAGGAATGGCTAATAGCTAATTATTTAAATATGCTGATTTCTATACACACACACACACACACACACATATATATATATATTTTTAGGTATGGGTCATCTTTTTGATTCATCTTTTAGCCAGCTTTCAGAGATTCTTTTTAATGTTTTCTGTATTCTGCAGGTTGATGCAAGTTAATTCAAGGCTTGATGCCTGATCATTTTAATAATGCACCAAATTTATTATAGTCTTACTAAGTACATAGTAATAAATTATAATAAATAGTATAAACAATAACTTATAATAAATTCTACAACATATATAGAATGATTAACATAAAAGTTAACGCTGTAATCATAATAACACTTAATAATTGCACCTGTATACTAATAAAATGTTTTTAGTTCCAGAGTTTCTGAACGATGTTACAGGTACACATTGAGTTATACCTTTGATTCATGTAATTACTTTGTAAAGCCTGGGACAAAATTCTAGGATAAGAAGGATATGGCCTAAGAGCAGTAACAACTATTTGGTTAGAAGAAGAAACCTGTTGAGGCAAGAATGCCTCTATTCATATAGTGAAAAATTGACTTAAAAGTATGTAATTTCCATAAATAAAACTGTTTTGACCAGTAAAACAGTTTAAACTCGTAGAAATTCCAGCATGACAGTACCTTGAATTGCAGCATGTTGTTGTCATGATATTTCACCTCCAAGCGAAGGGTACCAATTGGTAAGGTTGAATTCTCGTAAGCTTTGGTATTGACGTTGTTTAGGATGAGGTTGGCTGCCAGACCGTCTGAGGCGTATTCCACTTGATCAACAGAGTAAGCGTTGTCGGCGCTGTAATAGCAGGACGGAATATCCGTGTCCGAGATTACTTCCTGCAAAGGGGAAAAAGGTTGCAGATTAGTGAACTATATAGGCCTGCTGCCTTTTTTTTTTTTCCCTTTTAAATCAGCAAGAAGTCCAGCACTCCAATTTTTGTCATGTTGTTATTTAAGGTAGAGTTCTGAATACTGAACCTACTGATCTCTATACCAATTCCGGTATAATTAAACAGTTCAATCAAGACCATACAAGTAGTTCAGTCAGGAAACTGAATCCTCACACCGGCCTGAATGATTTATATTCCCTATAGCTGTGACACAAAGTCTTTAGGCTTGGTTTGCTGACTTCCTAAAACTTCTTCCCTCCTAATCTCATTGTCCTCTGGCCTTTTGGATGTCTTCAAGAGGATGTGTGTAAAACTCATTAGATATTCAGGCAACATTGGCTGAGAGCGTTTCATCAGCTTTTATATGTTTTTATTCATATGAATACGAATATACCCATTTAAGAAGCGCTTTGAAATATCCATTGAGAATTATATCCTATTTATCTAAGATGTCCTGACAGCAAGATCAAAATTACTTTCAGTTTCCTGCTATAATTGAACATAAACACTCAAACCAGTTATTTTGGGGTTAAACGAGCTGATGTAGGTTAATGTATTAGCCTTCCACCTCTAGATACTCACCATCAATCCTGTCTAGTTGTTCAAATGAAACTATGCCTACTAATCACATCTGAACTCCTAATGCATACTCACTCATCTGCTGTCACCAAATTCAAAGCACCTTTCAACTTGAGCAAGTGTTTAAAATATATCTAGTCCGTAACTTGACCAGTGTTTGATTTCACATGAAGAGCCATTTCCAAATATCCAAAATTACAAAAATATTTCTAAAAGTGCAACAAATTTAGGAAAGTCTAGCAACCTTTTGAGCTACTATTGTTTCAGGAGTGGCAGTTAGAGAATTTTGGACCTCTTACCTAGGTTTTTAGAGAATTTAGACCTCTTACCTAGGTTCTAAACTTTGAAATTTAGATTCATGAAATTTAAGTCATGAAGTAATGCAATATGGAAGGAGGGGACCTCTAAAGTTTATGCCTTCCAGGGCTCTTTGCTGACAGGTGCTTACAGCCCTATGTTATCCAGAAATAAAAATATGCTGTGAAGAACTTCATGTCAGGTCTCATGATCTGGATATAGCTGATAGACAGAGATACAAACAATTAAGTTCATATATGGGTGAAAAGATCCCTGGAGTTCAAGGATTTTTTCTCATCCTGTGATCTAGGGGAATCAGTTTTAATAAAAACGTGTTTCAACGAGCGTGAACGTGAGACGAAGTGGCAAAGCTTTGCAGGCCCCGGTTCCAGCAAAGAGTTGTTTGAAGTTGGTGACCTGAAGTCTGTTCTACTTTTTATAACTCTATTATTATTTGTTACCATCTTTCAAAAAAAATAACACATTTTCCCTCTATTTTTAGTGTTCTTTGGAAGAACTTAAGCTGTTGCAGACTGCCCTAGTTTCAGTGAAGTAAATAAAATCTGCTAACACAGGCCAGCTAATGGCTGCACTCCTCCTTTGTTTTAAAAGGAGTCTGGCAGACGGACAAAACCGTCAGACCGCCTTTTTCAGTGTAACAAATACCAAAGAGAGCTATGACCCTTAAACTCCTCCTTTCTCCTTCAGCTCAGAGGCAACGTTTTTGCTTACGTTCCAGACACAGCCGAGCTGTTCACACTTCTCTTTCGTCGCGTTAGGGCTGGGGTAACAATTATATCTTTCGTTGATGCTGGATTCTTGATTCCATTGCAGCTTGTATGATCTTCCCAGGTGAAGCTGAAGCCCTGTTATATGAGCAGCCTATAAATATTAAGCAACAAACAGTTATTAAATCCTACCTCCCATCAGTCTTTCAGTCTGCAGAGGTGCAGGTCCTCAGGAACAATAAAGTTCTCCTACACGGGAACTCACAAACAAGCGTCCTGGGACGTTCAATGCATTCGCGGGTTTTGCAAATTCACGCACTGAAATTCATGCGCATAAGATCTGAAATATTAAGAAGCTGAAAAATGTAGCCAATCCCACAACTCCCTTGGAAGGATGCAAGGAATGGAGATAAGTGCACGCCTCCTTAGCCTTCTTGACTATAAATGTAATATGACTTTGATGCTGATGCAGTCACTGAGATAACAGGTAACTCAGGTGCTTATAATAATTAAAGACAGCGTATAATGCAAGTTCCAAGCGCTATCTTTAGTGTAGTTTATGAAAATTTCCCATCTGCAGCAGTATGTTTGCCTGCTTAGCACATACATCTGTGAGGTTGCTGCCACTCTGTATTCATGCTGAGAAATGCTGTATAAACTAAGAAATGAGGTTTAAAAGCCTACACTCATCTTTGTTTAACAATCACTGCTCAAAGAATCATTTAAAATGTAAATATTATTTACCGTTCTTCAATATCAAATAAGATCATAAAGCTATTCCTCCCCTTGCACGTCAAATGCAGCTACATGAATAAGTGCATAAGTAAACCTTGTGTTGTACTAAGTGTCTCAGAGCAAAACTAAAATGCACGGTCTCTACAGGGGCGGTGGATTTAATTGTACTTTTATTCTGTAATGAAATATATGGTGTATGCTGTGAGATCTACGATAGTACTTAGTGTTATCCTTTGCAATATATGAAATAAAGGTGATATAACTCCAAAGACGTTATGCTTCAGGCTTTCTATTTTAATTTACCTTGGCTGAAGGATCGTAGGTGATAGAGTGAGAAGAACTTTGCAGAACATTGCCCTCAGTTACAGTAACTTCTGTTGGTTCCAGGAGCAACCCCAATATTTTGATTTCTTCAAACTTCAAGTTGTTTGGATCAGTGTAGCCATTGTTTATGACATTCATTTGTAGGCTATTCTGAAAAATAATACAATAATCCCATTATATTGTCAAAATTTTTTTAAAAATATAATTTTTCTAAGTAATTTTTAATAGTGTAGCATAAAGTAAGACAATGTCCTCTCCTTGCCTTGTTAATTATTGCCCTGTTTGTTGCTGTCACTTAGATGACAGCACAATGCTTTCTTCTGTATTTATAACATGCTTCATACTTGTGTTTCAGGTTCGTATTTTTTGGTTGTTTCAGAAACACGAAAGGGTGAGTATTACAACATGGCAAGGGAGAAGAATACAGATATTTTAGCAGATATTATGATTATTATACAAAAAATATGGAATCCTTATAATACGAAATCTCCAGGCAATATTAGATTTTTCTGTTCATCTGGACTTCACCCTGCTCTGTATAGGCTATTTCAATTAAAAAAATATATATATATGAAGCAAATTCAGACATTTTTCTGGCCTAGGTCTTCCTTTGGCTCACTGGAGACATTCAGCCCTATTTTTACAACATACAAAGAATTTTGCAGTCTTTGAGACTCACAAACATGATGGTGATCTCCTTTCTTGCTCTGCTTTAACTGTCACAGTTCTCCTGCTCAGTAAACATTGCTGCTGGGTTTATTACGTGAAAGGAAATAGGGATTCTTTTGTTAATAAATTAATTAGGAGAAGAAAAGCCAAATGTAAGATTTACGTCACAGTTAGTTAACAACAATATTTTGAAAAAGACACTGCTTTGGCTTTGTCAAATACTTTACTTCTCAGTAAATATTACAGGAGATTAAGGACAGAGAAGATAGTATTGATTGAAATCGGAAATGAAAATAAGATCTTTTTAAGAAGTACTTACATTAGAAACTATAAACTCATAGTAAATGTAGGCTTTGTTTTCGACAGTACCTAAAGTGTGAAGAAAGAAATTACACTTGCAGTACAGAACCAAACAGCATTAAAAGCAAGACTGTGTCTCTATTAGAGACCAATAAATTGTAATTAATATCATTACTACATTCAGAAGCTGCATTCAAGAGTGCTCCTCCACTGAGCAGATGCTGTGCAAACTGCAAAAAAATATGAACTTCTAATTATCTTCCAATGAGGGAAAAATGACTTTCTATATTTAACATTCTGCCGACTCAAATATTGAGTTGATTTGATGCAGTTTAATTGGTGATTTCACTTTGTTCTCAAATCCTGATATTTTTTTTTTCTTTTTAAAGCTCAGAATTTAAGATTCATCACTTAAATCTCTGGCGCAGAGGAAAAGTTTGCAGAGAGAGCATGTGCGGGAAGCCTCCTCTTGTGAAAACCCATTCTGTGACCTCAGCTTTGAGGATTTAGTGATCCTGGGGATAAGTAACGTCCCGGAGAAGTTGAGTCACACGCTGCTGGGGATGCCGAGAGGGATGCTGAGCGCACCCTGCGCTTCCAGGCGAGCGGATTTACTCCGCGCATGTCTGAGATCGCCTCGTCTCACCTACTGTTGACCACCTCCGTTTCTCGACTCAGTAACCCTCCCGGGCAGCATGTCACAACGTTTCACTGTTTTTTTTCAGTATCTAAGAGAAAGGAATTAGAGCCAGTTCTTCCTGGCCCCTTCATTGTGCATGTGGAAGGTTATTTCTTTTGCCGTTGCAGCAGCCTTTTACGTTTCCAAAAGCTCGTAATATCTCCTCTCTTCTCGTTCTGTTTAGATGGAGCAATATTTTCTCGCGAGGAGCCTTTTCTAGGCCTGTCGCTGTTCTTGCTGCTCTCCTCTGGGCTTCTGTTTATCCACGTCTGCCCCCAGGGGTGAAATTCAAAAGCAGGTTGAGGTCTCTAGCTAAAGCCTACCAAAGTTGAGAACAGTGATTATTCTTCGCTCATCCCCTATGAGCCTAAAAACTGGTTTCCTAGCCAGCAGCTCGCCTTCCACAGGGCGGTACAAAATCCTTGGTGATTTATTCCAACGATTTGCTAATTTAAGCTGCCTGTTCTGTATTTCCCAGCTCTTCTGCTGCTCTCATTTCAGCACAGGTGCCATCCTCACCCTGCTTCCGCCTCTGGGACCTCACCTCGCTGCCCGCGTCCCACCCCTACCCCAGGCTGACTCGTGCTCTTCTGCAATAAACCGCAGCATCTATTTGATTGCAGCTGGCTTTTCTAGCCCCTAAGCCGCCTCCCCCCCAAAAAAGAGAGTGACTGGATTTTCTACTCCAACCAATATTTTTCTTTTCTGGTATTATGCATGTTGTTAGAAAACTATTTCTTTTTCCTTTTGCTAGCCTATCCCAGTTCTCTCTCCTTGTCCCTGCTGTTTTCTTCTAATTGTTTATCTCTTATACGCAGGACAGTTCTCTCAAACTTCTGTTTTCCTTAGGCCAGTTTCCCAGAAGATCTAATTTTCCAATATTTTCCAAATTTATTGAAAATTGCCTTTCTAAAATGTATTATTTTTTATTTTATTGTTATTCCATCTTATCATTTCTTAAATGTAAAAAGACTCACTTAACTGCATGTACATTAAAACGTATTAAATAAATTTGTTAATGCAAAAATGACTATAATATTAATAAACTAGGTCATAGAACTCTTTTAGGAAATAAACTCATCACCTGGAAAAAGAAACATAAAAGTTGACTCATAAATAGTCTATCACTTTTTTTCCCCCCATGTAAGAAAAGAAAAATATTGTCATTGCAAGCAAATTGTAAACTATTTCTTCGAGAAGACTACGACCTGTAAGTTTTGAGCAGGAAATAAAATCATAAGATGTTTTATTGTTTTGTTTCTCAACAGAAGTGAGTACAATAATGGCTTAGTTATTTTAGGCCTTGACAACGGAGTACATATACCTGTCGTATCAGCAGCCACCCAAGGCCTCCAATATTTATTGCCGCAATAATCAGCCAAATCACAGCTCTATTTCTTTAAAGCATCCCAAAGTTTCCAAAATTTAAAAAGTAGAGGCTTGGAAGTTTTTGAGTGAGATATGATTGGTGTAGGTAAAATGAGAAAAGGGATTTCTAAAGTTAGATGCATACATTTTTCTAAGCTTTTCTCTTTCCAATAAATCTAATATTATCATCACATTACCTCTTGAGCACAAACAGTCTTATCTTTTTGGCTTTTTCTGCAGCTGTCCTCCTAACAGACTGCCCAGTGACTGCCACCAGCATCTTTCTCTGCACCATCAGCACGCAGAAACCCTTCAAACTCCAGTTTTGAGCTAAGGTTGCTGATGCAAGTGTCCTAACAGGGAATACCCGAGTGGGAATTTGTCATCTCGAGGAGACCTGTGAGGAAAGCTGAGGGCTTTGGCAGAGGCACCAAAGCGGTGACCACATGCATGTGCATGAGCTGCTGAGCGGCAAAGGTGGGGGCAAGTTTTGATGTGCAATCAGCTTTGTAATTTGTTCAAGATTCTTTAGCTGAAAAATGTGTTTTCAGAAGACAGGGGTATGAATACACTAAATTCAGGTATCACATAACCATGGACGGTGGTCAGATTAGTTCCCATGGGAAAATATCTGTCATCTTCTGAATCTCAATGATAATATTACTTTGATTTCATTTTTTTCTGTATATTTTTACTGTTGCAGTTTTTCCTATTTTCTAATCTGCGTTTTATTCCAGTATAGCTAAATAAAGCTCAAATACTTTTCCAATTCATAGCAGCCTATGGATGTGATAGGACAGGAATTAGAGAAGATCAGATCTACTTGAAATGCAGTAGTATTAACAGGCATATGCCATAAACCAGTGTCTTTAGTTGTTAAAGTTATGGTTGGTTGCAAATAAAATAAAGTCTGTCAAATATCAGTCCTTAAATCATTTTTTAATATGAGCTTGAGTGTTTTATAAAACTTCTTCAAAAAATCATTTCAGAATAAAAGTTTAAACTGCTTGCTGGCTTTTCTAAGAAATATAGAATAAAGGACAAAGGCTACAAAAGCAACCTAAAGGATTTCGGTACCCCAAATCCTTTTAATTGAATGGAACCTGGATGCCTGACTAATATCTCAGATATACTTCAGAAAACCCTACACTTCAAGGTTTTTCATTTTCCAAAGTTTTCTTCATCTCAAGATTAAAATGGTGAATTATATTATTTTTGTTTGCAAGTTTCTTCCGTTGCTCTAGAACGAACTCTGCTTTTCTTAGACATGCATGCATTCCAAAGGCATTAATTTTCCTCATAGCCGAGAGGAATTTAACCTTAAATCAGAGTTTTTTTTCACTTGGGCGAGTTGTTGTAATCTTAATATTACACAACCCATCGGAACAGAGGTATGAGTTTTAAAAAACGCTGGTGAAGGAAGCAGAGTCCAACCCAGTTCATCACAAGAAAGGAGGCTAAAAGGCTGTGGCATAATTGCAGTGAATATCCGGGTGGGAAGCGAGTTCCCAGGCAGCTTTAGTAAAAGGTAAGGTCGGCAACAGAGCGCGTATCGCCTGCACATGCTCACTCGTGCGCTCAGGCAGGGATATGCTGTGGGAATCAGATGGCATAAACAGTTTCGGCTTCAACACCATACCTTTTGGGTTGATGCAATTTCTACCGATTTCACCAGAAACGTAACTAGTTCCCACAAGTTCATAAGCGGTACCAGGTATACTTAACAAAAGGGCTAGTTTTTCATCTTCTGCTGAATCTGAGTTTCACACTATGATTGTGTGTATTCTTGCACCCATTGAAACAGACCTGGATACATACAAGAATATACATCAATCCCTACAGTGTGGCCTAACAGTCAGTGCGCTAACGTACCCAATTTACGTATTTAAGGCTACTGTGAAACCTGAAAGAGTAAAAAAAAATTTCGTCAAAATAAGAACCGTACATTTTTCCACTTAAAAGCGATGAAAAAGTAACGACATAAGAACAAGTATTCATAGCTTGCTACAAATTAAAATCAACATTCCCAATGGCTTACTCTTCCTCCATTAAATCAGCTGGAAGATTAAAATCCGTAAGTATTAATAGCTTGATTATCCTACTTATGTCCCTATCGATGGCTGCTCACCTGTGGATTCTCCATCATCCCAGAACAAGTCCCCGGATGCTCTGTTATTCTCATCCAGGGCAATGATAAGTCCCATAGGATTCTTGCGGCTGTAGAAAGAAAAATTATTTGTCCTAGCTATCTAAAAACATCTAGACAGTCTTAACACATCTTTCATGTTCACATTAAAAAATCTGAAGTTCCAGTGAGTTGCAAGACTTGCAGAATTGTCTTAGATTAGCCCTTGATTGTCTTTCATTTTCATGTAAACAGATTAAAATACGTGGGAAGCTTACAAAACGCTATGCAAATAAACCTGTAGTTGATCATTAAACACATTATGTAATCAGTCGTGGCAGCGATTTGTGACTCTCGGTTGTTCTCAGATTTTTAAGTGCAAACGCTGAATACGACAGCCTGCTACTGATTTGCAACCTGATGGTCCAGCGCCCACTCTTGACATCACGTTTCATCCCAATCTAACCAAAAAAGCGTTTGGTCTCGAAACGCACCTTATGACTGTTGTGTTAGCTGGTTGTTGGAAAGGGAAAACGTAGCCTCCCCTCAGATGAAGCCCCAGTTTGTCTGCTGGCAGGTACATGTCAGCCCACTGTTTTCTCCACGAGATTTTTGTCCCCTTATGAAGAGGGAGGCGGAAGAGAACGGGTGCATTGCGTTACTCGCTGCTACGAGCGCGCTCTTCAATCCAGAATTTCACCTTAATTCTTCCTTTTAAGGTAGGTAAATATCTATAGAACTGCCAGCGGTCGCGTGAAGAGAAAACCACCGCAATATTATCGTACAATATTATGAATCAATGCCCATCAGCATTCGATGGCGGCTCTGTCAGCACAGAGAGCAAGCCACGTTGGCACATCGGAAGTGAACAACGTCCTCTGCCACCCATCGAAAGGGTCATCGCAACAGCGGGAAACTTACTCGCAGAAATAAGATCAGTGAAAGACAATTGCAGACTGTCATGCAAATTGCAAACTCGTCATCATGTTTTACTCTTACAAACATGATCTTTGCTCAAGTTCCCGTGCAACCTGCCCTCCGGCCTCCTGCGTCGCTCCACCCCGTCGGGACCTTTCCTTGAGGCTGTGCCGGCCGCCCTCGCCCCCGACCCCTCCTCGCGCCCCTTCCTTCCCACAGGCTTTGCCTTAGCCTGTCGGCTACAGCTGTCCCCGAAGCCGGGCTGATGCGTAGGAAAACCACACGGCAGCGCCCTTGGCGTTTACTTACCGTCTCATATTCGTACCATACGGCGTCAGGGATGTACGCCTGGACGACGTCCACGCCCTGGAAGGGGAGCAAAGCAGCAGCTTTCACGTTTGAAGGCGAGTCAATTTAATAAATGAAAAATGTCAAAAAAATCACGATAACATTCGCAAAGACATTATTACTGATGCTTCTCCTCATCCTTATTTTCTTTAATGGCTTTCTGCCGCGCGTGCAGCCCCAAGCCACAACGCTTCACGTTCGCTCTCAGCGCATAGTCACAACCATCACTAAATTTTCTTTACTTTTACCTTTTCTGGACTGGCTTGTTTCCGATACTCACTTTCCATTCAAGTATTTAACAAACTTTTTGCGTTTCTACATAGCGTATGCGTTACTGGAATTAACGATCATTATTTACAAGATTTTGCAACAGGAAAAGCCATTATTTATTTGTTTTTCTTTCTGCACTAGAAATAAAATGAAAAGGAGTGAGAGAAGCTGCTCTGGCTGAAATTCAGAGAAGACACAAGCTAGAGCGAATCGGTCTATCCTGCCAGAAGATTAGATTCCCTAGAGGACTCGAAAATAGAAATGGGATTTAATAGCACAAAGTGCAAGATCTTCCATTTAAGCAGTGATAAAAACATGCTGTGGGCTCCCTCGCTGGAAGCAAGAAATGGAGAACAAGAACTAGGCTCTTTAGGAACCCCAGGACAACCAAATGCCACAAATGGGATATATCCATGAAAAATAAATATAATCTAAGGATACATCAAAAAAAATATTGCCACTGGAAATGGAGTTATGTTAATGCTAATGCACAAGGTTTCTGCCCACACTCCTTACTGCTCTGGTCAACATGCAGGAGTTCAGGCTGGAACAGGACCAGGGAAAACTTACTGGGCTCATCAGGGAAAGGGAATATCCTATTTTTGCTATTCGGCTTGTTCGGCATAAAAAAGGAGTCGGAGCACAATTTCCAGAGGAAATACATGTACGGTAAGCAGGGGAGCTATAGCCTCTAAGCTGAATAACGCAATTGTTGCAAGACCAAACAACAGAGACCGAAACTCAGGTGCTTTTTAATCACAAGGTGTCCCTGTTCCCTGTGAATTTGTGATGAGATAGATAAATATCAGGAGGGCTAAACCTACCGGGTCGAGCACAGCGGTAATGAGTAGTCCGGGACCCCACAGGAACTGCCTGTCAACGCCCCACGTTGCTTCATCAGAATAAAATCTGGACAAATGGGGAAAAAACAAACAAAAACCCAGCGCTGACTGTTTTTGTTAACTACGCTGTCAGGAGTAATCCTAATATTTCAGGGTACTGATTGGCTAGAATCACTACTGAAAAGCATCGCAGCACAACTGCGCAGGTTTATTTTCACCTGAGGCAACCTGAAGCTGAGAGTGTAAGTTCGCAGGCTTTACTAGTTTAGTTGTTGTTGATTACACATATATGTAAGAGTGCCTGTGTGCAGTTTTAACATAGCTCTATTCAAGAGTTTCCAGGCAAGGAAACCTAAAGCGTATATCATGATGGGGAATAATTTCATTAACTGGCAAAGACATTTCACAGCAGGCCTTGGAGTAACTGACAGTAATATATGCGTATTTGCAGAAATTGCACGTGATTTCTGATTACTCTTCTGATTACTTCAGAGTGGTATTTCATGAATTTAGAATTTGTCTATATATATTCCAATGCGCACTTTCACAAATTATATATGTGATTAGGTAGTCCCTGATAGCATTTAACCTGTCTGAATTTGTTTTTTCCTAATAGAAATATTATGAAGCCTAATCAGTAAACTTACTCGTGCAAAACGGGCCGCGCGACTGTGTCTCCTTGAGTATGAGCTTTGTAGAAGAGCGTATACAGGTAGGGCAGCAGAGTATAGCGAATGTTCAAGTAATGCTTTGAGGTTTTCACCAAAAGCGAATCAGCCCCAAAAACAGCTGGATCCTGAGGCTGAGAATAAATATTTTAGATTATTATTGTCGTCATGCAGAGGGAGTTTGGATGGCGCTATTTGTCAGTTATGTAGAAAGGGGATGCAGTGTCAGAGGAGCTGAAAGTTGATGGTGCCCATCTGCGTGGCATCTGCATGGTGTGGGGGGACCTGAGGTCGGGCCCACCAGCCCCCAGACCATGCGGGTTGCTTTGGGGTGCAGGTGGCAGCAGGGTGACAGCTCAAGGCTTCTCCTGGGTTTCATCCTAACGCGCATTCAGGACACAACGAAAGGGAGCTCCCAAGGATCGATCTGGTGGGTCAAGTAGCAGCGAGCGCTCACCCTTCTCTGCAGACACAACCAACGGGCATGAAACCGTTCTCAAAAAACGGACTCTCAAGCACTCGCAATTAACCCCAATGAAACTAAAACTTTTGGAGCTAGGATTTTGTAAAGAGAGTGCAAGTTTCTACCAATTTCCAACTAGTCAACTACGTAATTATTAGTAGTATAGTAATAAAGGGAATGTGGTAGGGCAACACAAGACAAGTTTTGTAAGAGAAGGTACAACTTACTATGTATAGTTCCGAGTTGTGATTCCTGGAAAATGGATAAAATGCTCCTACTTGCATCCACCGTCTGCAAAGTTCTTCCGTGGTGTTATCAAAGAAACCACAAATGTCTGCTCCAATCTTAAGATAAAAACAGGACGTGTTGGATGAACAGTATATTGCACGTCTAAGCTCTACACAGACCTTCAAGTATTGATTTCCAGAGATTTCCTAACTCGTCCGTAATCGCTAACCATGGTAATAGAGCCATTCAACACATTTCTACCTTTCTTCTTTCAAATTTCTCATCCGTAAGTAGATATGTCTGTATTTTTCTTTGATGGAACTTCTACCGGAATTACTGAAGTTTCTAAGCTATTATTTGAAGCAGAAGTAGCCAGGCAAATACTTATTCTTCCACATTGTCAGAGGTCAGAGAACACTTTTACAGCCCATCATCTACACTGTACAATTACGTTAATTCAAGTATGGGTTGCACAGAAAATTTAACTGACTACTAGCTAACACTGCTCATTGCTCTCTTTCTTCTGAATCTTTACTTACTTGTTTGGGGCTAATGTGCATACACGAGGAAAACAGTTCAAAAGTCGTGCAAATGGGAATCATGAAGAGGAATCTAGCTCTTTCATTTACACATGGGTGTTCCTAACTCAATTTGAAAGGCAAAGGAAAACACCACAGTTTTCCACATCAATCATCGATGAATAAAAAATACCAGTGATAACAGGTAGCCTGGAATATATAAAATGGTACGATTGATGCACACGGGTATCCCGCCATACGCACACCCCCCGCAGTAATGAAAGTAAGACAGTGGCTTAAACTGGAAAAAAAAAAAAAAAAATCAATAATTACTGGGGAGAAAAATGTTAAAATCAGGTTCTTAAAGGTTCTTATTTTACATCCAGCAAGTCAATATGGTTACATAAATAGTGTTTAATAAGATGATCAGGTATCACAGATGTGAAGAATTAACACTTATCCGTTGGTTTTGAAAGGATGCCACGGAGGAATATTTCTTACATAAGGAATCCCAAAGAGGTTAAACTCCAGCATCCCAGGTATCGCCCATTTCAAGTGATCCCATAGCGCCGCGTTGTCTCCCAGCCAGTGTCCTGCGTGCTTTCCTGACCCAGCAAAGGTCGACCTCGAAAGCAGGAAGCTCCGTTTTCCTGGAAACACGGTTTCGATGGCTCTGAAAATGAAACAAGGCTGGTATTATGCAAAGATTAAAAAAACGCCTCAGGCCCCAGTGGTTTTTGCATAAGGTAAATTTATAGCGACTAATTTGCAATAATGGATAATCCAAGGAACAGGGAAATTATGCAAAGATTAAGAAATGCCTCAGGCCCCAGTGCTTTTGCATAAGGTAAATTTATAGTGACTAATTTGCAATAATGGATAATCCAAGGAACAGGGACTCTTTTACAGCTATCCAGGTGTCTTTTAGCTACTTTTATAATATTAATTCTATTTAACCTTTCTAAATGTTTTTGACTACCAGTGTTTGGCCTGGGACTTTAGTTAGTATATTTTGCCATAGCTGCATTGGCTTAAATGAATTAATAGAGATTTATGTTCATTCAACCTTATCTCCTGTGCCAGTCTGAAATATAAGAATGTATAATGATATGCCTTAAAAAAAGAAAAAAAAAGAAAAATTCAGCCAAGAGAAACACTGAAAGAAGTGAGTAATTCCTTCCCCACCAATGCACAAATCGGAACATGCAATGGGTGAGACGCATAACTTAGTCGAAACTCGAGATGCAAAATGAGATTGAGACATTTTAAATGTTATGATGGTGGTCCCTAGCCCTGTGCTAGCAGAGCTCTGAACCATTGCTTTATTTGTTCTTCAATTTGCTGTAAATTGATGTAGACAGGTTTAAGTAGTTCAAATAGTTCAAAATTATCAAAACGTAGCTGACAGTTCCCCATACTTTTAGGTATATTTTTGTATTAATTTTCTAATGAAAAAAATGACTATCCTTTAAGGCACTATTGCAGTTGAAATGTAAACAACAAAGCACGGTACTCCTTTGAACTCTGCGTGTAATAGGGTCGCAGACATCCTTACGTGACAAGAGTTTTCTGTCTCTTTTAGCTATTTTGGATGCCCAGATTCAGTAAATTTTGAAACTGTGGAGAGACTGGATTTTCGGGTGATACTTCCTGTGGTCCAGGAATCAGGGTCCTTTAGATGTGAATTTTCTGCTGTTTTTGAAATTGCAGCCATATACTCTGCTTCACGTTTTTTTTTTGTAAGGATATTAGGGAGCATTGCTTACTGTTTAGTTGATAGGGTCATGGAATAGCCGAAAAGGCTGTGGACGTCGTACTGTTTCCCCCACTTCTGCACTGCGTCCATACAGAGCGTCTTGGAAAACATGAGCCTATCAAGAATGTCTTCAATGAAAGGACACAGATATCAGTTTTCAAATATATTTTGATCCCAAATATTTGCAATCTTTTGTTTAAGGCACATTCAGGCCCTTTTTGATCTTCGATTTTTGCACGAAGCCCAGTATGACTAGCGCAAGAACGAAACACCGTTCAGGCAACGCTGCTGTTGGTTGCCAGTTTTCCTTCGTCTTTGCTCGAACTGAAATGTTTTCGGCTTTGGAGCTTTCTCTACCTCAGGACAATCAGCACATAAGTAGCAAACGAATTCCCCTATTACTGCTACCGTCTCTGGAAACGCAGCTTTTCTGGTGGAGTGGAATTGAGCACACCAAGGTATGATGTGCTGCAATTTGTTCAGGGCACAAAATGATTAGCTCACATAATATATCTTTGGCTAGGTGCGATGAGACACTAACCAAAGGCTGCTTTCGATGCCAGTGCTTCCTGGCACCGCTCTGAGTAAATCTTAGCACAAAGGGAGCTCGCTGTCGGCTTTGTCACGAGTCTGGGCAGATGCCTGGAAGCAAAGACCTGGTGTACGCAGACTCTCAATTTCCCCACCCTGGCTTATTTTCTTTACTGTAAAGTAGGAGACCAAGGCTGCGAGGTCACCACAGAAGCAATCGTCCCTCCGTGGAGCTCCTTGGTGGGCACGAGGATGCCAAGAGAGCTCCCAACTGCTTTTTACTTTAATTTTTTTAATTATTTTTATTTTTCATTTTATTATCTTTCATGATTTAAAGTTGCACCTTTCAGTCAACCAACAGGTAACCCCTTTCTAGTTTTCTGCCTTAAATACAGAACTGGAGACGCTATAGCTGCACTCTAGGACAGATGGGAACTTCTTCACTTAATTCAAATCATACGCGTATGTCTGAGGTCAGAGGAAATCACGTTTACTTCCAGATTTGGCCCTAACATGGCACGCTAAGGACCGGCTGTAACTGACTGAACTCAACTTCATGCCAGCTAGATTCCTCATGCAAAGAGCCGTTCACCCAGGCAAGGAAGGACTGTGTGGCTACACCCTGACTCTGTGTGATTTGATCTGACAGCATATTGGCAATGGTTACCTAAAGCTATTACTTAATAAAAAAAAAAAAATTGAATTCCATTTTAGCTATGCATACATCTCTGAAACTATTGATGGTGAAAGAAGATCAATATGTTGTTAGACATAACTAAGGCAATGATAACGTTCAGTAATAATTTGAAAGGGAAAGAAAAAGCCATTTTTAATCATGAATTATGTAACCCATGCCTTTGACCAAGGCCGAGGCATACTTGTGTTTTCTGTCAATAGGAATAATCAAACGCCATCCATGAGGACTAAAATTACTTCATATCCTTGTATCTGACCGCACAGCGGTTCACAAACTTTTCCATATATTGCTTCGTGGTTAAAGACGACGGACTTACTGGGAGTGAAGGGAGGATAGTTCAAGTCGTTCTGCTCACAGCCCTTATTTGAGCCTTGAACAAAGTTGGATACTTCATTCATATCCTGGAAAAAGGAAGATACGGTATGTAACAGAGTTTCCTCAAGCACCTCTTCCCGACAGAACCTTATGTTTTACTCCTCAGACCCTTTAAGGAATAATTAATTAGAGGACGTACTGTACAATTAGGCACAAACGGTACAGCTCAGAGGCCGAGCTGCTGCCTGCCAGCCCGGGCGCGGGGTTTGTCCCCA